GAACTATGGATGAAATAAAATGAAGGTATCATGAGTGAACTAAACTTGAGGTACCTTAAAACTTAAATTACATGAAATGAATAAGTTATTAAAATTCATACATACGAAATAATCTAGAGTTTAGGAGTGATAAATCAAACTTAATAAAACGTCGGAATTTTGATTGCATTGGTAACATGCCAAACACTTTGTTTGGAATTAGGCTTTAGCAATCCAATTTAAAGGAGGTGTCGAGGTCGCCTTCCTTTTAACGTGAGATTTCTCGGTGCAAATTTAGATTTAATTAGGCTAATATAGATACCAAACTGTATATATTTACACATTTTCTGCTATTATTTCTCTGTTATATTGATTATCTTTCCTCTGCTTTCAATTTTTTTGCCCAATATACTCACTACTTGTTATTCCGAAATATGAATTAGCTAATTTATTGATAGATTTTAATAAATATCATTATGACTCAATTTTTCGGATCGTGAAATAAATAGATATGATATCAAGTGGGCAAATTAAATTGTAGCTTAGGAAACAAGTGGAGTGGATATGGCCAAACTTGGCCAAACTCTATGGAACCTACAACCACTAATTCTCACATGTGATGCACGTGGCAGTTATATCTAAAAAGATCCTTCTCAATTTTCGCTTTAAAATATTTTATTTGAGTCAAATGATATATTGGAGATATTTTCTTTCATTTGTTTGACCTATATTTTTTAGTCAGCTTTCAAAAGAATCATTTTTAAGTGAATTTTTAATTTTTAATTTTCATTTGATATATTTAAGATAATAAAATTTAAAATATTTTAATTTATTTAACACGTATTTAATTTAAAATTATATAACAATTTTTTAAAAATAAAATTCATGTCAAACTAAAAAAATTGAAACAGAAAATTAGCTTTTATATTGTTGGTCTTGTCAACGGCAACTACTAACAAAGTAAAAACGGACTGAAAAATATAAATAAAAGAAAAAGACAAGGATTATTATTATTCATATCTCTTGACATCGACAATAAGAAACTGTTTGTATTTAAGATCCAACTTCGTTGACAAAAGCTTAGAGAAAAAAATAATATTATTTTCAAGAAAAGTTACTTTTGGTATTTGATACTATTAAAAATAGATTTTTAAAATTATTTTATATCAAAAAGGAAGAAAAATTACCCCTCACTTCACTTGTATGTAGAAAGTAAAGTACCTTTATATTATTTACTTCAATTAATACTAGAAGTTATTTAAATAACTTCACTTATCTTTCTGAGTGAATTTTGAAAATATTTTACTTATTTCTTACCATTATACATATCACATTTTGAGATTACATGAAAACTGTGCTGCATATATATATATATATCATGTGTCGATTATTGGTTATCATAAAGTTTATAAATTTTACATAATATCATAATTAAAATTTGGTATATCTATTTTCAGACTTATAATTTCTCTTTACATATTTTCTCATTTTTATTAGGTCATTGCAACAGATATAACTTTTAGTGATAATAAATATACATATTAATAGAGAGTGATAAAACCTTTACTGACATTAGTTAATTGATATTGGATTCAATGCCAGTACAAGATTTAGAGACTTTCTCAAAGAATATTAAATATCGCTAAAAATATATTTTTACTAACAATTAAGTTATTATTGTTAAAAATCATTTTTGATGTGGTGTGCAGTCTCTTACCCTTATGATCTCAATTCTTTTTCACTTTCCATATCATTATTTTATTTAAAAGGTGGACCAGTTTGTTCCTTATAAGAGGATGAAATTAAACAATTATTTTTGTGTATGTATGGTAGGGTAAATTTCTATATGGATACTAGACCACAAAAAAGAGGATATCCTTTAAATTTTACTCTAGATTCTTTAAATATTTTAGTTTGTTGTTTTATTTTTACTCAAGAAGAAAATACTTCACATTTCTTCTTCTTTAAGTTTTGGACCACTTGTGATGCTGCTGTTAGATCATGTAAAGAATTATTTGCATTATTGCCCTTCAAACGAGTTGGTGTCTTAGTATATTTGGTAGGGAGGGACGAAAATATTTTCTGAAAAATATATTTTAGTTTTCTTATATTTGATTGGTTAAAATATTTGGTAAATATTTTCTCAAGCAAAATAAGTTTTTTAAAATGAAGTAAATGAATTTCATAATGGAAGTAGAGAAAACAAGTTGCATAAGTGACATTCTAAGTTTATTGTCTCTTCCCTCAACTCTCACCCCTTGACCATCTCACCGCCACTCTCAATCTCATCCCGCTTCCATAGTATTTTGCTAAATAACGCTCTCTTAGAATAATACTTTCTTACTTACTTATTAAACACTAGAAAATAAGCAAGAAATTCACTTGTTAATATTTTTCTTCAAATTAAATACACCTTTAGTCTTCGATTTTGTCCTTAAAAGTCGAATTTATACCTAGCAAAACAATAATTATGAAATATTATAATCTAAAAGTATAAATTATGTCCAACAAAATAATTATATAATTTAATTATTTATTAATAGATAAAAATTAAAGACCAACATAAAATAAGAACAAAAGTGCAAATGATACTATCTTTCAAGTAAAGGAGAAATATAGCTCCTTAGCCCAAAATATAACCCTACTAATACAATTTTTTTTTAGTTTCTTATATGATGTTTGATATCTTGTCCTACTATTTTATATTCGTCCCAGATAGGAGCCCATTCGAGACTTGAACTCCTTATCAAGATTGTTTTCATATTTAGGATTTGAACATAAAGCTACTAATTAAGATTAGAATAGTCTCATCCACATCATCACATCTGATGATACTAACCCAAAATTGTTCTTAAACTGAATTTGGTTTCTAGTACAAGTTCTTTCGAGAATATATGATTGTTCGTCTTATTGGGATTCCTCATAAATTAATTAGTTTTGTAGTGACTACGATTGTGTTTTTACATTCAAATTTAAAATCGATAATTTGAGCAAATTCACAAAAACCAATTTTTTCTATACTAACAAAATTTTACTTTGACTCGCCCACTTTTAGAACCTTATCTTAAAAGCATTAAATTAATAATTAAGCAACCGTACGTGTGATCCTTCGATTTGTAAGTCACTATTGCTGATCGATTTGACCACATCATTCCAGAATATTTTTTACAAATACATTTGGTTACAATTTATTTTTGCATGTCTGACTTTTTATCTGCATTAAATTTATTTTAAAAAATAAAATAAAATCGAAAAGTCCCACATTGAAAGATAAAATGATGTTTAACAAAAATGATTTGATATTCAAATAGACTCAAACTGAGCTTTCTGATTAAGAATAAAGATTTACTTATCGTTCTATCACAATTATCACAATTTATTTGTAAATGAAGTTCAATTTTGCTTCAATGCAAATTAAGTCGGCAAAACATCTTTCCCAAATAGTGTGATTTTCATGATAAAATTCAGCCTACCTAATGGGTCCTCCCTCCTCCTTGAGATTCCCTTTCATCATCATGATGATTAGAAGAGGTGGAATCAGAATTTTTATTTAAAAAGTTTAAAATATAAAACTTTTTAAATATACGAAGGAGTCAAAGGTTGTTCAACGTTTATTATATGTAAAAATAATTTTAATTATATACAATCGACATATATTTTTTGTCGAAGAAGATTCAAATAACCCCTTTATCATACCTAACTCGGCTCCGCCCCTAATCATCATCATTAAATAAAACTTAAAACTATACCCTTTTCCATTTAGTCTCTCCCACCTACACAAACACCTCATTTTCTAAGATATTTCATGCATGTGGGCGTGTTATTTATTGCATGAACCAACCCTTCACCCGTCTCTATCATTTTGCATTCTACACCAACATTAACTAAAACAAAATTTGTAATATATGATCCAATTTGTGACTTAGTAGACAAAAGGGATTCAATGAACTCCAAACATCAAGCACATGGAACCTTATGTATGGAGAAGAGACAACAACATTTGTTAGGCATGCACATAATTTCAATTTTCAAAAACATAATACTAAGATATATCGACCTTTTACAAATTTTGTCCATTATTTTGTCTTCGACTTCAATATAGAATTTGAAATTGAAAAGGTGGTTCGAGAAATATATCAAATGAGATACTCTATACATTTTTAAATATAAATGAGAATATCAGAGTTCCAACGTCATTTCCAATTGTATCCCTAAGATATGATCACATGTTCAAAATCAAACTTACATTTTGTAACAACAACTACTTTAATAACATAAGGTTAGAAAAATTGATTCTTTAAATTTGAAAAGGAAAGGATACAAAGAACGTAGATTTTTTTTGTTTAGTAAACTAAAGTTTTCTCACATGGAATTCGATTTCTTATTGGTCCACGTGTTTTCCACAAAATAGTTCCCCAAATCCTATTTGGGATTTGTTGGTCCAATTCTAGAAAATGAAATGAAAAACACCTATCTGTTTTTTCACTCAAATTCCATCCTTACAATAAAATGCTTATTCTTAAAATTTCTATCTTGGTGGAGATCCCACCACCATTACCATTTTCCCCAAAAATCTTGCAACAATATTTCCATTTTCTTTCTCTTAATTCTCTCAACAAATTCCCCTTGCACCTGAACTATTATCAAGAAAATCATGTTTGCCACTTCAACAACCTTATAACTCATATCTTGCCTCATCAGTTGTTTACTGTGTTTCAATATTGCTATGTTTTCTTCTATTTTGTACTTGCATTTGCTCACTCGAGCTTTTGGTAACAATCTCTCTACCTCTACTAGATCTGCGTACAGTCTACCTTCTCCAGACCCCACTTGTGGGAAGATACTATAGAAGTAGGCAAGTAGCAATGTCACGTACTTAAAGCTAAATGCTTTTTCAAAAGAAACACTTGACCCGTGTATCACCCCAACTACTTCTTCAACTACATCCTCTATATATAAACACGCTAAAAATAACTAGTTAGTATTTTTAAATATTACACATCTCCCTTCCAAGAAACTCGAAAAAAATAATAAAAAACCACATCAACAAAAAAGAAGCAGCAATATATAATAATGTCATTTTCTTATGCTAAAAACTGTTTACAACGGTTCTGTGTGGACGAGTTCCAAATGGATACAGAAACCACCCATAGTGGCTTCTTCTCTAGTGATCTTCTCCCATCACTTGGAGCTCGAATCAACTACGCTACAAAACTCCGAAGATTCATCATTTCGCCTTTTAATCCACGTTACAGGTAAAGATAAGATAGATAATTGACTCTAATTGATTGATAAATTATTTTTTCCGCTCTTGACATTAATGATTATTATGATATTTCAGGTGTTGGGAGATGTTTCTAGTTGTTATGGTTATTTACACAGCTTGGATTTCTCTGTTTGAGGTTGCATTCTTGTCATACAAGAAAGATGATACTCTGTTCATTATTGACAACATTGTTGATTGCTTCTTTGCTATTGACATTTTACTTACCTTCTTCGTCGCGTATCTTCATCAAGAGTCTTATCTTCTTGTTGATGAACCTAAGAAAATAGCAATAAGGTATAATAATTAAAAATTTAATCTTTATGTACATAACTTCATTCAAAGAGAGGGAGAGAGATTTTTCCAAGTTCTAATTATGTGTAAATGTGAGATAAACAGGTACTTGTCAACATGGTTCATTTTTGATGTATGTTCTACTGTACCATTCCAATCATTGATCCTCGTCTTCACGGGTCACAAAGAAAGCGGAGGAGTTGGATTCAGATTGCTCAGCATGCTCAGATTATGGCGTCTCAGACGAGTCAGTGCCCTGTTTGCAAGGTCCAAAATACCACACTGTATTTTTGGTTTCTACATCATGAATTATGATCAATGCTAAAAAAATCTCACATATATAAGCCGGTTTGCTTTCCTTCAGACTTGAGAAGGATATCCGGTTCAACTACTTCTGGACACGATGTACAAAACTCGTATCAGTAAGTACTATCAATGCTCAAAAAAAAGATGATTTTTTTTTATTATATGTTTGACAAGTAACATGTGGTTTGTTTGGAGTTCAGGTGACATTGTTTGCAGTGCACTGTGCTGGATGCATTAACTATATGATTGCTGATAGATATCCTGATTCGAAAAAGACATGGATTGGTGCTGTATATCCAGATTTCAAGCAACTAAGTGTTGGTGACAGATACATAACTTCATTGTATTGGTCTATTGTAACGCTGACAACAACCGGTTATGGAGACTTGCATGCTGAGAACTCAAGAGAGATGCTGTTTGATATCTTTTACATGTTATTCAACTTGGGATTGACATCTTACATAATTGGAAACATGACTAACCTTGTTGTTCATTGGACTAGTCGCACCAGAAACTTCGTATGCTTCTTCTTCCTCCCTCTCTCTCCATAAATCGCGTGTTGAGATCAAATTAAACTTGAGGAGTCTTGTTTATTTTGCAGAGGGAGGCAGTGAAAGCAGCTCAAGAATTCGCAAAAAGGAATCAGTTGCCTCCAAGAGTACAAGATCAGGTTTTGTCTCACATGTGTCTCAAGTTTAAAACAGAAACATTGAAACAAGAAGAGACTCTTAATGGCCTGCCTAAAGCCATCAGAACAAGCATTGCACACCATCTGTTTTTTCCTATAGTTCAAAATGTCCATTTGTTCCAAGGTGTTTCGCGGAACCTCCTTTTCCAACTGGTAATTTTCTCCCTTTCCCTTCTCTTTTGTTCTCTAGATCACTCTGCATTGGATTAAACAGTGTGATACTTTAATTTCTAAGGTTCCTGAAATGGAAGCTGAATACTTCCCTCCGAAGCAAGACGTGATTTTGCAGAATGAGGCACCAACTGATCTGTATATAATAGTTTCAGGAGCAGTGGTAAGTTAGTTTATAGATTGAGTATATGTTAAAGCTGTGCTTGTCATGTTGTTAATCAGTATGTCTTATGTTATTGTTGCAGGAATTTATAGCACAGATTGAAGGGCTAGAGCAAGTATGTATATTACTACATAGTAACTATTATTATTAAGAGACAACTTTAGGATGTAACTAAATCTCTCTTCTCAATCATGTTCCCAAACAGATAATTGGAAAGGCTGTTGCAGGAGAAATATTTGGAGAAATAGGTGTTTTATGTGGGAGGCCACAGCCATTTGCTGTTCGAACTACCGAGATTTCTCAGATTCTAAGGCTAAGTAGGACATCATTGATGAACATTCTTTGCGCAAATCCAGAAGATGAACGTATAATTATGAACAATCTTTTGCTGGTAAGTAAACCAGATTATGTACTGGGGAATCCACTATTGTTATTGCTTAGGAAAAAAACGAAATTCACGAACGATTCTTTTTGTTAATCAGAAACTTCAGGGATTTGGAGGTTTTGGTTATGTGGACCACCAAACAAATGCAGGACCAGAAATCAAAAGGCATGATGATATCACACTTACTAGCATAGATATCAATAATTTGGAAGCAAGAGTTAAGAAGCAAGAGAGAGATGATGGACAGGAAGTAAACAAAACCATGAATGATTTGTCATTAAATCTTGAAAATAAGAGTGAGTTAAGTGAGCATAAAGTGGAGCTCATTGGACCAGATGAGGGAACAAAGAGCTGTCAACTGAAGCCTGAGGTCCCCTGTTGTTCCAACTCTTGCCTAAAAAGACCCACATGTAGTACCAGTTCAAGTGGCTCTCAAGGGACAAAATCTACCCACCATAAGAAGAGAATCACCATTCACGTGAAAAAAGAATCATTGCATGAACAGTTTGGGAAACTAATCATTCTACCTGATTCACTAGAAGAGCTATTCAGAGTAGCAGGTAATTACCTTTCATTTTGTGAAAATTGAAAGAAGGCGATCATTCTTTCTCACTCTGCAATTTTCTCCAACTGCAGGTCAAAGATTTGGAGGCTACGATTTCAAGAGAGCTGTAAATGCAGAGGATGCTGAAATAGATGACATTGATGTCATCAGAGATGGCGACCATTTGTTTTTCCTTTAACACATATGCTTGAGCATAGAATATAATCACCATTGATCGCGATGGAAAATTATCAGAAGCGTAGAGAAGAGGTTCAAAGCAATTGTATATTGATCTCATTGTGTAAATGTTAGGCTAAATGATTCAATCTTTGTATCTCCAAAGGGAGAAATCAAAGGTGCAGATGTAATACATCAATTACAAGAGTAAGTTCCAACTTACTACAGAAGGATTACACTATCCTGTTCTTTCCATGAATAACATAGAGCTTTAAGCCTTTAACACTTTATAAAAATTGTAACTATCTCTGTATGTACTACACAAACAAGACGTTCATCGAGAATTCCCAGCCTCAAATATCACTCGAGTAGAAGTTTCAGGAGCATTTCAGACGGAAATTTCAGGGAGCTTCATCTAAATGAACATTTGTGAATAAGCTTCCATGAGGTCACATGCAACCTAATGAACCGACTTAAACGAATTTAAATTCCATCTGAGATTGCTGAAACATGTTCTCTTGGGTCATCTGAATCTCCGCCAATACTGAAAAAAAAATTCTTCTTGCAAGCAAAGTATCTATCATACACTTCTAGAAATTATTGGAATAGGATGAGCTTCTGTGTTGAATACATACTCATCCAAAGGGATCGTGGTGCTATTACCGAACAGCAAATAGATGTATTTGAGTGTTTCACCCAAGAAAAAAGTCTCCATCTTGTCTCTTCTTTGTGGAGGAATAACAGTAACATCGTCAAGAGAAGTGTAACCTCCAGAATCAATCTTAGTGTACTTCTCAAATGCCTCAAAAATTTGCCAGCCCCATTCACGATACCTGAAGAAGAATCCACCAAGTCAACAAACTTAGTTGTTCAAGCCCATAAAGCAAATGCACACAGCAAAGTTCACAGATCAACTTTAAAATAAGAACATACTTTGAATCGCCAGTAATACGATACAGATAAAACAATGATTCAACGGTTTCAGGGCGCAAAAGATTGTGACGATCAGCAGGCTTTATGATTATGTCATTCAAATATTTCGAACTTTTGTTCCCACCACCAGGACCACCTTCAGAATTTCCCTGCTTGAAGAAAACAAGACAACAGAAAAACATTAATGATGCAAGAATCTTTTCCAATTATGTCACAATAGTACTTCAAGTCAGGGTAGACATATGAACACTATCATTAATTTATCTTGCGTCTCACTAATGATGAAATTAGATCGTTCAAGTCACGATAGGCACATTTTCACTCTGATTGTTTTCCAGATTTGTTTAATTGATTGGACTAGCATTAAAGAGAGAAATTCTTGCATCTATTACAACAGATTAATCCGTGTTACATCTAGACATAAATGATGTTAAACACAGATCAGAAGTTTAAAATATGCAACAGGAATCTTTTAACTTTCACAAACTCACCTTCCTCAGAAAAGAAAAGAAAAAAGTTCGACAAAAGAAAACTAAAAACATCACCTTACATAATATGATAGTTGCCAAAAGTGATGAAAGAAATAAAAATGTTTTAACTCACCTCAATATTGAAATAAGCTATTTCTGGAGCAAGGCCAGTAGAAGTTACTGAGTATATTTCCACGCAAGTCTTAGCCAGATCTTCAGCAAGCTTTAGGTTTTCCATATCTTCAAAAGTGAGCAAGTTCTCTCTCATAGCTCTTTCCTTTGTCAACCCCTTTGTAGCGCCAAGGGCCAGGGTACCAGGAAGGAAACACACCTGCGGATGATGTCAAATGATATCAAATTTATAAGAGCAGACATCAACATCTAAAATACGTCTTTCATACATTTCCGAAAACAAGTTTCATTGTGAATAGAAAAGAAAGAGGCAGGAGAAGACTGTTTCCTTTAATTAAGATTCAAGACTATATACTTCAATAAAAAGCACATTACTAAAATGTATACCCCTAGCTAGAGAGGTAAAGCTATCTTATATCTGCAACTTGTATTCCATCATAAACCAATGCACTCAGAAGAAGAAAGTGAAAGTTATGGCCAGTGATTTTTGTATGTTAATAAACTCTTTGAGTGAGCAAAATGAATGAAAAATTTGGAGAAATAGAAAAGAAAAAAAATGTTCTATCAGCATAAGAAATTTATAATAGAGAATTGGCTAAACATATCAAGGAAAGGATTTCCATGTTGCTTGGGAAGATTTATTATTTTTCAAAAGGAAAAAATATAATACTGCGGCTAACTGTGGCATCGTGCAGCTGATTCCTTGTTAGACCCATTTTGACCTTTTCACTTTACAATGCTGAAGTATATTTGAAAAAGAATAATAACAGAAATGGCATACCAGGTGATCCATCTTTGGACTGAAACCACCTTCTTTCCCATATGGCAATTCTCCCACAAAGACCAAGCCATTTGGAACAGATTTGCGAACAAGAAGATGCCTGACACCTTTAATTGCTTCGACATACATATCGTACAAGTATGAAAAGTTAGTTCCTTTCTGCTGAAGCCACACTTTGATAAGATACTCATAATAGCTATCACCACGAGATCCAAGTCTAATATTGTCTCCACTAAACTGTCCGGATTGAGGGCTGACATCATTATAAGCACAAATGATAAGTCAACGGGTATAACAGTTCTGTATTTTCTTAATCCAACAGTAGACAAGTAAGAATAAATAAATATAAAAACAAGGAATGGTGAAATATCACTTGAAGTGACTGAGAACAAGGAAAGAAAGATGTGGCGGTGAAAGCATATGCTGAAGCAAGTGAACAAGATATTTTCACCTCGACTCAGAGATCCTAAGCACAACTAAATGCTAGTCTTTCATATGTTAAGGAAGCATGAATATATATATATATATATATATATATATGTACTAATAAAGGTACTCGATTATTGCAGGCATGCTCTTTCTTTCTTTGGTAGTAATGGTGTCTGAGCCAGCTTACATGCACCTCAACTAATCCACCTGGGTACCTACTACCTTACACCAATACAAGTACCGGTTGATTCTATCCTAATGTAGACATCTAGTATGGTTCTACAACAAGAATTAAATGTACTGAAGGATGCCCATATGTTCTGGTTGTGGAGAGGAAAGTGAAATTTAGGTTCAGACTTCGTTTAGGATTAGATAACTTGGAAATCATGAACAAATAGTGAAGACATTTAAGGATCCATGGCAAGAAAGATTTGTGTTTCAATTTTTGAAACATGTATTGCAAATTATATGCAGGATTTCTGGAAGTAAGCACAAAAGCATTTTTCTAACATGATAGATAGTGAAGAAGGAATTGGCAATGTTACAAATCAGTTTAGTGTAACTGTGAGTAGGAACTTATAATCAGGAGACAAAACAGTAACCAGCAATACATATATAACTAGATGTAGAAAAAACTGTTCTGGTTTTCCTCCATGTTGAATAGTAGGAGAAGTTAATTGGTTCTAGAGCTATCGAGTGAACTGTAAACCATCTTCATCATAAGTTGTTCTTAAACAGTTACTTTTGTCCAGATAGCTATATTTACTTTAACAATAAAATAAAGAAACAGGCAGAACATAAAGAAGCCTTTTCTTTTAATCATATGGTTATGTTACCGTTGCATTGAATGCCCTACATTATTAGAAGTTGCAATATATCTAGCTCCCTAAACAAAAATAACAGGTCAAGAAGACACATTTCAAGATACTGGAATTATTGCAGAACATGATATAATTACTTTTCAGATATTCCGAGGGCAAGCATCTGCCTACACAAGTCCTGGCATAGGAAAATACGATCTTAGTTACTTACCTAATGTATATAGGGACCAGTCCCTCCACCTTTGGCAAAGTCTTTATATGTTGTAGAACCTTCATGGCTTCTATGCTATACTTTGGATCACCTGTTAAATAACTAAGATAATTAAATTCAAGCTGTACAGTTGCAACTTCCGCAGTGCTACTCAGACCATCAGGGGCAGGATGTGCAGACTTGTCACGCAGGACTACATCACTGTATGGAATATCGGATGGACTTGCTGTAAAAGCAGTAAGTAGACGATCAGCCAAGTTCTTAGCATTTTCCAGGTAAATAGATGGATTAGGCCCTTTTTGTTCTGGAATTCTCCCTTGACTTCCACCACTTAAGTGATAAGCACTCAAAAGACCACCTAGAAGTCGTATTGTAGTTTCAAAGAGATTTACTTGGCCTTTCCCTTCAATCCTCTCAGGAAGATGTTTCTCAATCCACGAGCCTGCTTCATGAACGACTTCATCAGCTCCCATAATCATAGCCGTGTCTAAAGCGTCAATAATTGTAGCTCCCAAACCTCCTAAACCATTAACCCCTCTATGGCTCAAGGGCATAAGTTCATCATAACCCATGGCATGGGCTTTGTATCCAGACCAGGCATGGATAAATGCATCTTTCACCTTCTGTTGTCTTGCCACCCATTCTGGCTCCTCTCTTTTCATGGACTCTTGAATAGATCTATTCCTACTAATTATTTCATCAGGAGATAACCGGGGTGGAAGTCTAGGTGGTTTTCTCCAAAATCTCCTGAATTTGCCACTTCCATGAGTCATGAGATTTTCTCCTTCCTTTGATCCATCATTTTTTGCTATACCATCAGACACAGGATGGACAGCACTTTTATTAGTCAGTACTAGATATGCTAAACCACCAAGCATCAGTAACACAAGAAGTTTCCCAGTGCTACATTTCAAATAATCACGTTTCCCATTACTGGTTAATAGAACCTGAGAAATTACCTGAAAAGATAAGCAGAACTATAAAATTTCAGCATACAAGATAAATTACAAAATTCTGCTGCAGAAATACCAAGACCTTTCAAGGGATGCAAATGATCTTGGGAGCTATCTCAAATTTAAAAGCTAGAAGTTATATGTGCATTACCCGTGCTAGGGAAGATAGTCAGAGATAAAACACACTTCTAAATGCAAGCTATAGGCAAAACCCGGTATATGTGGCCATTTAGATGCTACAAAAACAAATTAAAGGTAAAATAGTAAATTCGACATAATTTGGTTCCTGAAGTCATTAATGTCACAAGTCAGGCTCATTACATTGTGGGCAAATACTGTCATGCTCCGAGTCTCAGCCCACTGTCCTCACTCGGGTCTTGGATCCATTGGATATGTCCTTAATCGCCCTAATGTAAGCTACAAATACACGTCTAGACTTCAAACGACTCCATAGAACCCTCCAAGGGACTATGGGGGTGTTTAAATTGACTTTTTTAAAGTGGCACATAAG